AGAGAATCATTTGGTCCGGCCGCGCCTCAGCCACACGGGACACCAACGGGACACCGGCGGGACACCGCGGGGCCCCGGCCGCCCGGAAGGGAACCATTTGGTCTGGCCGCGCCTCAGCCACACGGGACACCAGCGGGACACCGGCGGGACACCGCGGGGCCCCGGCCGCCCGGAAGGGAATCATTTGGTCCGGCCGCGCCTCAGCCACAGGAGACTTTCCTCTCGCCCGCCCACGCAGCTTCGCCTCGCCCGCACGCACGGCACGCACGAACACGAAACCGAAATCGATTTCCCGGTAAGGGGGCTCTCCGTTCCACTTCGATCTCACCCCCTCACCTCCGATATACACATTAGCTTATGTTCTGTCATTGCGGACCCTAAACCATAGGTTCTTGTGCTCGCGAGATGCAAACTTTACGATGCCATCTGAGTGTGAGGTGCAGCGTGTGTGTTGCAATCCATGTGGTGAATTCGGCGCGATGCAGTCTATGAGGTGCAGCGTACGTGGTGCAATTCGTGTGGTGCGATCTTTGAAGATATGCGGTGCAACCTATGCAGTGCGATCAATTTTGTGAACCTTGGAATCGTCAACTCCAATGCTCAAGCAACCATCTTACCCATCCGCCCGCACCTTCTTGGCAAATCACAAGTGGCGCAATGATGCGATTATCCTTCTCATGTAGATCCATGGCTTGGGTGGATGGGTGATGATTGTGATCACATTGGCGAGGGCGACGGTGGCACTGCTGACGAGGGCAACGACAACGATGATGATGATGGTGACGACGGTGGTGGTGGTGGTGACGACAACGACGGAGATGGGGATGACGGTGATGGCGGTGGCAATTATGACGCTGGTGGTGATGATGATGATGACTGTGCAAATGAGGATGAGATGACCATGAAACGCACGCTCACAGGACACACCTGAGAAATACCTGATTTAACAATAGCTGCTTTTCACAACCGTCATGTGGTGTTGAATTGAGCACGAGGTTCTGAGTGGTTATTAGGACGGAACTGATGTAATGGAAGGATTGGCTTAGGATCCGTTTCAGGAGGATTTCCAATAGTATTTGGCGGCACTCGTTTCTGAAGCTCGTGTTGAAAGTTAGGGGGATCTAGGATATCTAGGGACGTCTCATTATCATGACCTCTTATTCCTCTGAGATGCAGATGCCCGCCAAGCTCAAAATCTGATCCCCCTCGGGCTCACTTCACCCTCCGAACTCGCGGTGCCAGGACCACGAGATGCGAGGATCTTGTGCCCGCCAGACGCTCGAGGGGGGGGGGAACTGGGGAGCGGCAGCGCAGACGGAGCCGGGAGATGGAGACCTTCTTCTCGCCCTTCGCCTCCCCCCCCGTCGCCTGATCCCTCCCCTCCCCAATTCCCTCTCGGCCCCGTCCCCCATCCGGGTGAAGCGAGGACGACGGGGAGGCAGAAAGGAGGGGGATGTGGGTAGGGAGGAGGAAGGATGAAGAGAGGACTGGAAGAGAAGGAGAGAGAGGGAGAGAGAAAAAGAGAGAGAGGGAGAGGGAGAGAGACAGACAGACAGAAAGAGAGATAAACACATAGAAAGAGAGAGAGAGAGAGAAGGAGTGAGAAAGAGAGAGAGAGAGAGAGACAGAGAGAGAAAGAAAGTGAGAAAGAGATAGAGAGAGAGAGAAAGAGAGAGAGAGAGAGATGGAGACACACTACACAGAGCAGTCAATGTTTGGTTTTGTTTCGTGGGGGCGGGGGGGAAGTAATGAGAGGACCATACGAAAATAATGCAGACTCGCACCTCGGCCTAGTTTATTCGGCATGAGACAAGTCTTCCTGGTTTTCCTCACACGATCCTGCATTGCGTACGGTTGAATCGCCAGATATGGAGTACAGGCAACTGGATCCTCGAATCGGGATCGATGTGCTGATTCGACCGCTGGAGCCATAGACGCTTCCTCTCCCCAGGCCGCCTGAGCAGTGGGGTCTCAGCTCGTGACCCACCTCCTGCCGTCCTTTTCGCCGCACAGCACCCGCCTCCTGCCCAGCACCCACCTCCTGCCCAGCACCCACCTCCGACCTCCCACCCAGCACCCACCTCCTGCCCAGCACCCACCCCCTGCCCAACACCCGGCATCTTCACCGCCCTGCCCACCTCCTGCCCGGCACCCGCCTTCAGCCCGTGGCCCGCCTCCCGCCCCGCACCCCGTCCCTCGGGGCCCCCGGCCCTTTTCCACCGCCGGCCGCCCGACCGCCCTGCTGGCCGGCCGCGCTCCCCGCACCCCCGGGCTGTGCCGGTGGGGGCGGCCGGCGGCGGCGGGGACGCGGCAGAGGGAGAGCGAGGGGGGAGGATCGCGGCGAGAAGGGGATGGCTGTGCCCACCAGGGCTGGTGGTGTCTTCGATCGTCTTCCTCGCGAGAAGGGAGGGGGGACAGGAGCAGGAGGAGCAGGAGGAGCAGGAGGAGAGGGAGGGATGGGGATGGAATGGGGGAGGGAGAGGGTGGGAGCAGAAACGCAGAGGAAGAAAGACTGCATAAGCTTACCTCCTCGGAGGTCCGCGGGGACTTCTCGTGTCCGTGCTGGACCCTCCTCTTGGGCGCGCGGAGAGCGCCATGGGGCGACACCGAGGGCGCCGCCGGGGGGGGCCCATGGCCGTTCCAGGAAGTCCGCGCGGAGCTTCGGAAATTCACGCTTATGCTGCCCTCGGCTCGTCGGAAGGAACATGAACGGGAGGAGGATCTGGGAGCGACGAGGGGGCTGAGCGGCGGCGTGACAGCCTCGCCGCTGAAGCCTCGCCGCCGCCGCGGCCCGCGGCCTGCACAGCCCCGACGTCAGGCCAGGTCAGAGCAGGCCGTAAACTCCGGCAACCCATGGGCACGTGCACGGGGCATGGGCCGGGACCCCGTGCTTGACGGCATCCGCCCTGCAAGCTGCACAACGCAGCTGTGTGCATGCATAGACCTGCGGTGCTTCAAAGGAGGGAGCAAGGACGCGCGGGGGGAGGAAGGAGGGACGCACAACGAGCGAGGACGAGAGGCGATGCCAGAAAGGGAGGGAGGAAGAGGGACTAGGGGAACAAAAAGTGACATAAACATAAAAACTCGGAGGTCCGCGCGGATTTCTCGGATCGGCGCTGGACCCCCCTCCCAGGCGCGCGGAGCGCGCCAGGGGCGGCGCCGGAGGCGCCGCCGGGGGGCCCCAGCGCCGATCCGAGAAATCCGCGCGGACCTCCGAGTTTTTATGTTATGTCCCTTTTTGTCCCCCTAGGGACGAGCGACAAGGGGCAGGGTGCCACAAAAGCGTGTGGTGATGGACCTCGTGGTGACCTCGGGCTCTCCGACGACCTCACCGCGCAGCCCGTCGCCGCACGACCAAAGGGGCCTCGGAGGCTCCAGCCGCCCCCGAGGACCTCCCTGGAGAAGGACCCGAATCCCAGCACCGTGCTGTGGCTTCAGGAGGAGGAGGAGGAGGAGGAGGAGGGAGGAGGAGGAGGAGGAGGAGAACCCCGATCCTTCCGGCTTGGGCCCCCGACGCGCGAGCCAGAAATCACCCCCGACCACCCCGGGGCCCGACGACTCGGGCCCCGACGCTTCGGGAAGGGCTGGGCGCCCAGGCTGGCCGGGACAGCTCCGGTCCAGGACGGCCCGGGCCCCCGAGGCACGAGGCAGGAACAGCAGCAGGGGCCCGGCCACAAGAAGCCTTCCACAAGAAGCCCAACTCCTCCTCCTCCTCCTCCTCCTCCTCCTGCTCCTCCTCCTCCTCCTGCTCCTCCTCCTCCTCCTCCTCTTCCCTTTCCTCCTCCTCCCTTTCCTCCTCCTCCTCCTCCTCCTCCTCCAAGCTCTGAGGGTGAAGGGCGATCCGCGCGCATGCACCGTTGGTGGGGCGGCGCGCGGCGGCGCGGGCGGAGGCCAGAGGGCCGACGAGGATCCTGCAGTCAAAGTCTCGCCTACAGTAGGGGCCCCGCCACAAGAAGCCTTCCACAAGAAGCCCAACCCTGAGACCCCAGGGCGTCCACTGATTCTTGCCGCGGGAGCGTCACGCTCTCCACAGCGGAACCGTCGGAACCGAGGAAGCCCAGGGCACCCTGGAGGCAAGCGGGGTGTCTCTTGGCTTGGGCCTCCACTGTGCCCCTGCCCACCCCCAGCCCCGATGCTTCGGGAGTGGCTGGACGCCGAGATTATCCAGGACAGCTCCGGTTCTGGGCGGCTCTGGCCCCCGAGGCACGAATCAGGAGATACGGTAGGGGCCCGACCACAAGAAGCCTTCCACAAGAAACCCAATCAGGAGCTACAACAAGGCTGCTGAAATGAGGTACGCTTAAAGCAGGAACGAACCTCCGTTTTGGCGCCAACAGCGCCTGGGTGCACGTGGAAGGCCAGAAGAACAAAGACGGACTGACCCAAGGAACCGCGAGCCCCTCCCGAACCCAACGCGGTCCTTATTTCAGCGGACCACCCCCAGACCTGATGTGAGGCTAAACCAGGCAGAGGATAACATCGGACGAGGATCGATCGGGGCTCTGGAAGATGTCTCGGGCGCCGCGGCCTTTTCAGAGCGCTCCAGAGAGCCCTGAGATCGGTCTTGAAAGCTCTGGCACGGATTCATCCTCGTCCTGGCACCGCCCGATGATGTTTTTCGGGGCTCTGACCACCACGTGGTGTGGTCACCACACCGCTCGGGGCCCCCGAACAGCACGTCGCCGCTGGCAGCAGCCCGCAGCACAGACGTTGCCGTGGCGGTCGGCGGGCGCGGCCGTTGCGCCCCCCGCCGAGGAGGGAGGAGGGAGGGAGGAGGACGGGAGGGAGAAGGGAGGAGGAGGAGCGAGGAGGAGACGCAAGCCCAATGAACTCCGCCGAAGAAACGAGGGAAACACGAACTAAGTAAGGAACGCGCGGCAACCCCTTAGCGGCAACACTTGGCCATGAGATACTTAAAGGCTGTGATTCTCCCCCAATAACGCGAGGAGGAGGAGGAGGAGGAGGAGGAGGAGGAGAAGGAGAAGGAGGAGGCAGCAGGAGGTGGAGATGGAGGGAACGGAGGGAGGGAGGGAAGAGGCGGAACTGGAGGGCTCAGATCTGGACGCTGCGTTCGCTTCCCTCGCAGCTGTCCTGTGGCTGCGCGCACAACCAGAAGGGTGATGAGGGGTCAGTCAGAATGCTCCTCAAACGAGACCCACCCTCTCTTGGAGGCTTCTGGGAAATGCTCTTGTTAGGCAAGGGGGCTTCTAAGCGAGCGGGGGGTCTTCTTTGAAGGCAGCGCAGCCCCCTCACCCCGCCTACTTCTGCTGAAGGGGGTAGGGGGGGAGGGGACTGGTTCACAGGATAACCCCGGTCTGGAATCCCATCAGCCTTCTGGGCGGGTGGTATATGGGTTCTCCCCCTCGGTTTTCCAGAGCCCCTTCTTCCAGTATAGTCGGAGCAAGGACAGACAAGCATACTTCAAGAACATGAAACCCTTCGCTGGGACAGGATAGCAATCCTTCAGGGTACCCTTCCCCAAGATGCACAAGAAGAAGGATCACATACGAAGAACATTAGGGTCCCCCCCCGAACCGACCTCGATCTTACACCTCGGTCTGGCCGTACCCCTCCCTCTGCCCCCTCCCCTGGGTCTGGACAGGGGGGCTGAATGTGCACAACCCGAAGCCTTACCACTCTGGCCGGCCCAGTTAAGGACATATCGAGCTGGCACCGGCGATACATTGTTGACAGATCTGCGACAAGCCCACGATAGCGAATCCACAAGCTCCTGGGCGGGGTGGGCAATCAGGCCCTACTCGGCGATGAATGGGCGATGGGGGGTCGAGGCAGGCCCCATCCCTCCCTGAGCCTGTGACCCCCTCTACCGTTGCCCCCGATCCGAATGGAATTGGGGCCACACCTCAGCTCTCAGGCGGCCGCTCGGGACGATCCATGCACCTCTGGAAGGCTCTCGCTGAGGCGCAGCCGCTGGAAGGCACGCCGAGGCTGGACAACCACCAGGAATGGGCGAGAGCGCCCGAAAACCTCGCTTCCCAAGGCTTCCCAAGGTCGCACTCTGAGCATCGTTTCTCCGATCCATATCCCCACGGGCGTGGCCTGGGCCACACTGGCCGATTCATTCTCCTAGATGGGGATACAGGCTGTTCCCTTCGAGTTTCGAGGGGCACATCCCCAATTAATCAGGCTGGTGGGATGGTGGGGATCTCGACGGGGATGGAGACTGGGCATGGGGACCGGTTCCACGACAAACGATGCTGACGCCCAGCGAGTCCTTGAAGCTTCCGCTCTCGCCCCGGCTCTCGGCGCACTCGCGCCAGCTCTGCGCCGCGCCGATCGGGGCCGGGGCGGGCCCCGGCCAGTCGGGGTCGGCACGCCGCGAGACGCGCCGCGGGCTGCGCTGCGGCGCGACGGCGAGCGGGCTGCTGTGCCCGCGGGCAGAGGGGGAGGGCGACACGCGCTCCCTGCTGTGGTTCCTGCGGGGGCGCCGAGCAGAGAGGCCTCCCACCGGGGGTCCGAGCCGATGGGGTCGGAGGGTCGCGCCGCAGCGCCGAGGCGTCCGGCGGCGCCTCGGCGGCGTCGGCCACGCATCGGTGCCGTCGGCGTGGAGAAGAGTTGGCTCCACACCGAGCCGCATCGCCGATGCATCGGAGATGTGGCGCGATCCTCCGACGCCATCTACTTGAAACCCGTCTGGGAAACCTGGAAAGCAATGCAACAATTGGCATGTCCAGAGTTGGCGCGGAACAAGTGGGCTCGATGCTCAGCAATAAATGTTGTCCCAGATCCACACCGACCGTTGTTGGGCAGGTGACACTCGTTGCAAATGGGCAAGGTCCACGGCGACGCCGACAACGAACCCTGTGCCAAAACCGCTGTTGGTCTTCGTACCCGTTGTTTCCGTATCCAGCTCGATGCCCCGAAACTAAGATGGCAATCGAGGAAAAACTTAGGGGGACAATACGATTCACAGCACAGCCTTCTGCCGCTGGGAAAAAGGTTTTGGAGAGGACGATCAAACAATCTCAACGACGACGCCGACGAGCAGGTCTGGAACCCAATTCATCACTCGGCTCGCCCAAGGAGCTGCTGCGTGACGGGACCTCCAGGGGCACCCCTGCAAGCGACCCGCGGAAGGGATCGATCAGGTCAGAACTGTCCGATAACGTCAAAGTCTGTCTAGTGAGCCCCACTTCTGGGGGCTGGGCTGCTTCTTCGTCCCTTGATCGGAGCTCGCTGGGTACTCTCCACGCTTCTTCATGAACGGGGGGGTCGCCGCACCTGGCGACCCGGCGATGAGGGGCAACGTTAGGGTGGACAAGCTCAGAAAAGCAAACATAAAACTGGAATCGGCAAGACATCGCCGATAGACTGGCGATAGGCACCCCATAGCGAGTCTGCGCGGTCCTGGGCGGTGTGCAAGGCGATGTCCCGCCGATCGATGGGCGATAGGCTCTCGATAGGAAACCACTGCGTGCCTGGGCGAGGTGAAATATCAGGCCCATGTCGGCGATTAATGGGCGATGGGGGGTCGATGCGTCCCCTCCCAAGCGTTTCCCCCCGCTGACGTTGACCCCTGAAGCGACACACCCCGAATCGACCTCCTGTAGAGCGTAAGCGCTGCGCGCAGAGGGCGCCGCGCCATCCTGGCGCGGCGCGAAAACGTGACGACGTTGGCCAACGTGGCCCCGCACCATCTCTTTGCGCCATTTCTTCGCGCCGCGCCACCAGGCGCGGCGCGAAGAGATGGACGATTACAGTCCTCGCTCCTAGGTTGGAAGGTGGAAGAACGCGCGACCCCATCTGGCCAGACACACGCTCGCGACCACGACATCACACGCGCTCCCGACGCCCCACCCCATCGCACATTACGACGTGCTCGCGCTCCCGACGCCGCAACCCTCGCGAAAATACAACGCACTCGACCTTAAGATGCCATTGGCCGTCGTCAATTGCGACGCATGTGCGCTCCCGAGGCTACGGGTACGACGCACTCGCGCTCCCCAAGCCACAACCCTTTTTGCAAAGTACGTCGCGCTCGCGTTCAATATGCCACAATCCCATGCAAACTACGAAGTTTTCGCGAACTTGCGGCCGCACAACCCATTTTGAAGTATTCCAAGCTCGCGATCCCGAAGCCAATCGTTAGTAATTCGTGACACATTCGCGCTCTCGGTCGAAAGCTCTTGTCAGAATTGCGCCATATTCGCCATCCCGACACAACGACCCCTTGCACAGGGTAGCAAAGCCGCGCCCCCCAAACAACAATCCTCGAAACATTACAATGTTTTCGCGCGCCCGGGGCCACAATCCCTAACCAATGGTATCGCACCCGCGCACCCGATGCCACAATCAATCGCAACTTGCGCCAAGCTCGCGCTCCCGAAATCGCAGCCTCTGTCAACTTAAGACGCCAGCGCGCTTCTGAAGCCACGACCTCTAATACAAGACGACGCTCTCGTGTTCCCCGAGTTACAGCCTTTTGCACATTGTAGCAGGCTCGCGCTCCCGAGGCGGCCACAACCCTCTTGTAAATTACGACGCCCTCGAGCCCCCGAGGCTGCTTTCCTTTGCATTTTGCGACGTTTTCGCGCCCGCGGGGCCACGACCCCGCCCCACGGAAACCAACCACATGCAACACGCCTTTTTCTGTATTTGGCTATGTGCTCGGGGACCGCTTTTCGCCCCCCAGCCCCCCCGTCCCCCACCACCATCATGTGGAAACTCTCTGCGTTGGACCCGCGACCGCGAAGCTAGGGAAGGCACGATAGGAACGTGATGCATGGATGTAACTTAGAGACACCTGATTGGGCGACGGGCATTTGCAATGCTGAAAGTATCGGCGGTGATGCCACCCCATCGAAACCACGTGGCGTCTCCGGCCAAAGAGCCACACTCCGAACACTAATACGTTTGCACGACCGCGATCCCGGCTCAAATTGCGATTCATCCGTGCTGCGCCGCATTGTGCTTAGTCGTGCTGCGTTTGTTGAACTGTGCAGCGTTCCGTTGCGATGTGGGTCAAATCGTCCTTGGTGTCGGGATCCGCACCGAACTGATAACCATGTAGCTTAAGCCCGAGCTGTCTGAAAGCATGATTCGCCAAGGGCTGGTTGCGATTGACACGCGCGGGGCGCTCAACCAACGCGAACTCAAGAGCACATTCGATTCCAAAGCGGTGCGAACCAAGAGGGGCGAATCGTCGTTCGCCAGAAGAATACGGATTCGGGCAACAATGAAATATGATGAGGATGCTAACGTGTCGATCTCATCGCCCATGAGGGTGTATCAGATTCGATTGTCGCCCGTTGAGCCGTGGACCACTGGGTGCAATAGAACGCGATAAGAAGGAAGAGGGGCGACGAACACGATCCTCACTCCTCTCGCGCGCGCGGAGGCGGGCCTGCGGTGCCCGCCTGAGTGCGTCTTGTCTTGTAAGAGCGACGCGAGCAGGGAGAGAAGAGTGACAACTCCCCCCGCGGCGGGGCGCGTAGGCCCCACGCTTCGAGTCCACCCCAGAGTGCACCGCGGTGTCCTGGCCCCCCCCGTGGCGCATTGGCCCCCTTCAAGCGCCAGCCCCCGAACACTTTCTCAAAGCCGGGGTAAAGGTGCCGATAATCCCGCCGGATCTCCCGCAGGGAAGGCCGAAACGGACCGACCGTCAAACGTGGGTGCAGTAGTCCACGTACAGGCACTTTGTCCCGTTCTTCTTCAGTAAGTAGCGCAGCCGTGGCTGCGCCGCCGCCGACAACTTTTTCTCCTCACCTCGTGCGACGAAAGCTATTGTAGTCATGCTCCTCGGCGGACCAACGCGAACATGCCATGAGTTGAAAGATCATCATCATCTCAGGTGATGACCCACGGGCCCTGGTGCTGGCCTGTGGTACGTGCTCTGGGTCGTGCGTCCGCTCGACGCCCGGCGCCCGCCCGATGCGCGGCGCTCTGTCCATTGTCCTTCTCGTCCTTGATGCGCTCGTTAGATATCGAGGCCTGCCTCGATCCAGCCTCGCGGCTCCTGCTCCGCGCCTGCCCTGGCGGACTCCGCTTGTGTCCGCTTCAGCATCGCGGCCCCGCTCGGGCTTCGGCGGCGGGCAGGCAGCGCCTCAGGCTGCCCATGCGCGCCGTCGCGGAGGAGGCGGCCATCGGAGGAGCCAGCCAACGCATCGCTGGCCACAGCCAGCACATTGCCCGCCGGCGCCGCGGGAGGAGCAGGATGAGCAGCCGAAACGCCGATTGAATTGGCACCTCGAACACCCTCTTCTTCAACCTCCATAGGCCTCAACAGTTCCAGTGCAGAACACCGCCCGCTAAATCGGCAGCGGTTCCCTCCGAAATCACTACGTGATCGGAGATGGGTGATTGCTCAACTTGATGTGTAAACTATGACGCGACACCTTGCATCGGGTCATCCGTGGATGTGCCAGAATCGGTTGAGCCGATATCTGGGAATCCTTTCTTTGCAAAGGTGCGAAACATTCAATGGCACTTGTGGCACTTGGCTGACCATGCTTGGCACTCAATGGTTCCCGCATCTCCGCGCATTTATGCTGCAATGGCTCCTCCCATTGCTTTTCGCCAATAAGATCAGCCATCGCGATCTGTAGCGGTCAAGGATTCATGCAATTTTTGGACTTGAGGCTGAGCCCCAAGGTTCGAGCTCTTCATGGCCTCTCGTATTTCTCGTAAAGTTCGTAAGAATATCTCCGCATCAGCTGTGGGCAATGGTCCACCCTATCTCCTATTTAGTGTTTCCTTTGAATGTTTCCTCAAATCCTCTTTGGCATCAAACACGTATTGTACTTCTGTTGGGAAATGCGATGTATCGCTCTTGCACAATGCAATCCGTGATCTATTCCCTGACTATGTTCATGGTGCGTAGAGGCGCGTATTCAATCAAAGCAGGTTCAATGCTCGTTCCCTCCAGAAACCATCAAGAAACTTATGTATCCTCTCGGCAACAACGTCTCGATCCACATAGTCACCGAACATGGCGCCGACGGTTACATACTGGTGTATCTATGAATTCGCTCGCTATCAATACAAGATCATGTCCAGGAGTTTTGGCACCAACCTTGGCCCGGGGATTCCTCGACAAGTCCAGACGTTTTGGCCCCCACAATCACGAATCAACTTTCCTGGCCATCAAGAATCACTTTGATCCTCGCGATGTTAGAATGCAATGTTTCTTCAGTATCTCCGTCACCGCCAGGCGGATTCTTCAAATGCAAAGCTTCTGGGCCTTCTTCGCGCTTGATGTCAGGTTCGTCCGCATAATGGGGGTCGACAATATAGAACGTGGGACTACAAGGACCGATCTCCAGTAACTCATGGTGCCTCATGTTTGCTTCTTCAGCAGTCATCTGCGGACGATCACTACCTCGACACATGTGGCGGGAAGATCGATATGGGTGTATGGACCACTAGCAGGGTCGACTGAATCTCACCCTGCTTCTCTTTGTAAACATTCACCAACCATGTGGCTGTTCTCCTCCCAGAGTTCCCATCCGATCTTTGGTTCAATTCGGTCATCCTTTTCGTTCGGCCAATCGAACGCACTGAGTGGGGGAAACCTCATTGGAATCTAAATCTGGTCGATGTGTTTCCAAACAACTGCCCACCACTCAGCTGCCGTGGCGGTGTCCCTCCTCCAATTGTTGTATGACATGAAACTCGGCTTGCGTGGCCCAAGACATCGAAACATGGTTCATATCGAACCTGAAGCTTGATATCCTTTCGATCAGCCGTCCAAGAAGGAAGTTAATCCGCTGTCCTGGCAAGGCAAGTCATTCCCGCCTTCGACTTTGCGGCCCTCTTCTCTTCGTTGAGCAACTGTTTTTCGTGCTGTTCGTAGGCTTTCAAATTCTGGGGGAGCTGCGGCGAAGAGCGAAAACAAAATGATGCGCACGTCGCCAACCAGCCAGCCAGCCACCAAGGACGAGGGAAGAGATGAGACGAGATGGCCTAGCGCCCGCAGAGTCCGCAGCACCGCAGATGCACTTGCCAGGCAGCGAGATTGCCAAGACGCCCAGAGGACAGGAGGCAAAGAGGCCCACATGGGGCCAGCCGCAATACTGTCCTGCCCTCTACATCGCCACGCAATTTAGAGGCGGTGAATATTTATCGAAGAAGCGGGGTAAGGGTAAATCCGCTCAAAATCTGCTCTTCGACCCCTCCAGGAGTCCATCATCTGATGCAATGTTTCACCTCGGATCCGTTTTCGACGGTCCTGGGCCCGAAAGCGACCCCTGGAGACAGAAAAAAAACAAAACCTTGTCGAACCCAAACTGCCCCCCGCCTTCCTGCTGGCTGGAACCAGTGCTGAGCCACCTCGGACTCCTGGCCGACTTCAAGCCACCAGGCAGCCTCGGGCAGCAACGTGGCGAAACCTCGCCGGACCCGACCCACCCAGTGCACGAGGGCGGCAACGTGACGAAACCTCGCTGGACCCACCCACCCAGCGCACGAGGCGGCCACGAGCGGAAACGTGGCGAAACCTCGCCGGCCATCCGACGAGGCGGCAACGTGGCGAAACCTCGCTGGACCCACCCAGCACACGAGGCGGCCACGGGCGGCAACGTAGCGAAACCTCGCCAGACCCACCAACGCGACCACGGGCGGCAGCGTGGAAAATCCTCGCTGGATCCATCCAATACCCTAGTAAGATGAGTAAGAGCCCCTAGGTGCAAGCCCTTTGGGGAATGAAGCCTCCACCAAGAACTTCACTATCTAGCATGTTCTGATTACCGCCCGATGCCCTCGCATGGTCCGTGTCAAAACACACGTGAGGCTTCTACTGGCCCGGGTCAATGTAAACCTGGGTCAGTCAGGCTTCGCAGGAACCTGCACACTCCTGCAGGATCTTGCAAGATCCTGCGCGCCAGAGCGGGTCAGTGCACCCCTGGCTCTGCAGGATCCTGCAGGCCCCGGCGCTCAGGCTGGCCCCTGCTTGCATGGACCCCCGTCTCCAGGAGGGGGAGAAGCAGGAGGAAGAGGAGGAGGATAAGGAGGAGGAGGAGGAGGAGGAGGAGTAGGAGGAGAAGCAGGAGGAGGAGGAGGAGGAGGAGGAGGAGGAGGAGGAGAAGCAGGAGGAGGAGGAGAACGATGAGGAGGAGGAGGAGGAGGAGGAGGAGGAGGAGGGAGGACCCCCTCCCCCCCCAACTTATGGTGGTGGTGGTGGTGGTGGTGGCGGTGGTGGTGGAAAACAAGCCAATCACATCCCCATGCCCACTGCCACGGCCTTGGCCGTGCTGACCGCTCTGCCCCCCCGAGAGGGGGCTAGATGCCGTGGGGTTCGCGGGGAGGAGGAGGACCCCCTCCCCCCCCAACTTATGGTGGTGGTGGTGGTGGTGGTGGCGGTGGTGGTGGAAAACAAGCCAATCACATCCCCATGCCCACTGCCACGGCCTTGGCCGTGCTGACCGCTCTGCCCCCCCGAGAGGGGGCTAGATGCCGTGGGGTTCGCGGGGCCCGCCCCGCCCTTGGGGGTGGGCTGGCGGGGCTGAGATGCAGTGGCTCACTGGGGATGGGGATCGATCAAGCGTACTCGGGTATCCAACGACCCTGGTCAATCCAGGCCCGGGTCAGTCAAGCTTTGCTAGACCCCGCAAGATCCTGCACCCAAGCCCAGGTCAATGCGGCCCTGGCTCTGACTCTGCAGGATCCTGCAAGATCCGGCGCTCTGACTGACCCCCGTTTGCATTGCCCCCGGTCTCTGGAGCCCCGATGTGCATAATTGACGCCCTCCGGGCTCCGTGTTGGGCGGTTCGGGCGGTCATCCCAGCGCCGCGAGAGGCTCACCCTGCTCACCTTCAGGCGCACGGGCGGCCCCGACCTCAGACATCGGGCGGCCCGCTTTTTCTACAAATGGGTTCCTGCACATATTCCGATGACGAAAACAACAGAAACACATTGACTCCTTGAGGTCCGCACGGATGCGCCAGGCGCGGCGCCGGAGGCGCAGGCTGGGGTCTCAAAACCCGCGCGGACCTCTGAGAATTCATGCTTATGCAGATTTCTCCTCGTTCGAATCTCGAACTCATCCCTGGGGCCGGGTTCTCGTCCGAGCCACGCCTCGACGCCCCTCGGAGCCGAAAGCGGCCCCCAGGAGGCGCCGAACTAGGGAGCCCACGACGGACGTACGCGCCGAGCCATGTACATGACCGCGGCCACCCAGTCCGCGAGGCCAGCTTCGCGTTGCGAGTGTTCGCGTAGGTGCGTACCCTCGAAGCCCACGAAAGCTAGCGTGGATATGCGCCTTCTCTCCGCTCCGGACAACGAGGGCGAACAGCCGGCCGCCGTTCTACGTTGCGAGCCAACCCGATGTCCCCAGACCCCCGACGTCATGATTTTGTTCATATCGTCGACCCCCAGAGGTCTCGACCCACTCCGCGGGACTGCCTTTTCACCCTGCATCGTTTCTGTGGACAGTCCCAGGGCCTGGCGCGGGCCCCCGGAGGCCGAAAACAGGGAACAGCCATCCGCCGTGAGTTGTTCATGACTCGAGGGGGACTGGGTCTGGCAGACCCTGCGGGGGTCATCACGACGTCGCCGTCGGGCGAGTGCGAGTGGCGCCGCTCCGCGCTGGCCGCGTCGCCGCCGCCCTGCAGGGGCAGGCTGGGCGGGCTGCAGGGCACGCCGCTCCTCTTCGGCCAGCGCGCGCGCCCGGGGGGGAAGGCACGGGGGGGGGGCCGAACCCGCTGTTGTACGGGCAGGCTTAATTGCTTCAGAGAGTCTGCACGGCCGAACCACAGAGCAAGTATGTCTGCCCCACGGCCTTCGACCTCCCTTCTCCTCCTCCCCCCCGTCCTCCCTCCTCCTCCTCCACCTCCACCTTCACCTCCTCCTCCTCCTCCTCCTCCTCCTCCTCCTCCTCCTCTTCGTCCTCCTCCCCCTCCTCCTGCCCACAACAGGTGACCGATCCCTTCGACGCAAAACGAGTGGAGACTACTGCTCCACGGCCTCTGTTGCGGGCGCTGGGCTGCAGGCAATGGATTGTTCCGCCTCGGCACCGAGGTGCAGGCCCCCTCAGACCCGGACCCCCCCCCCCCGAGCCATGCACACACCACGACGGTCCATTTTCCCGCCCCGATCTCGGCCTCCGGGGGCCCTCGCCAGGGCCTCGGGACCGTCAACGAACACGAATCAGGGTGAAAAGGCAGTGTCGGGGACTGGGTCGAGACCTCTGGGGGTCGACGAAGTAAAAAATCATGACGTCGGGGGTCTGGGCAAGGGGGGGGGGGCGGACTTCCTCAGAGGGATCAGAAGGCCTCGACTTGCTCAAGACGTCGACTTGTTCAAGACATGGCTCGTCCCCTCCCACTTCCTCCTGAGGCGCGCCGCCGACCTGGCTCTGGCGGGGCCCGGGGCGAAAACAGGGGCGGCCGCTGGAGGGGCCAGGCCCGCCCTGGCGGGCCCCTCGGTAGCAGGATGTCCCCGGGGGCCCTGGGAGGGCATCTTGCTCATGTGGTTGTATGTTGCTCCCATCGTACTTGAGGATCACATCCCAGAACTGCTGTCGAGCACCCAGAAAAGCGTCGAAACAGTGTCGAACGAGTGTGTCCCAGGGCCCGACACGTGAACATCCCCGAGTTTCGGTACATTCTTGGTGCTCGATCTTTTTCTGGTGATCAAGGCTAAAGTAGGCTGGAGCATCATAACCATATGGCCGAGGCTGACGACAGGGCGGAAAGCGTCTCTGGCCGTCCGAGAAGCTCTACCGCCCTTCTCCGAAGCCACCGTGGGCCTCGGCCAGCAGGCCGCAGGGCTTCTAAGGAGCCCCGCCGCCTTCTGAGAGGGCCTGCCCCCCCTCGCTTCCCACAGGGCGCGCCGCCGACCTGTGGTCTGTTAGGGCCCGGGGCCGCGAACACGGACAGCTCTCGCAGGGGGCATGTCGGTCCAGGCCGGCCTGGGTAGCAGGGCCTCCCCAGGGCGCCGCCGGGGGCATCCTGTCCACATGCCAGGGCTGACGACAGGGTGGTGCTTGGCAGCGAGCTCCTCTCAGATGGCGGCGGGACTTCTCAGAGCCCCCGCGCCTTCTGCGAAGCCGTCTGGGGCATTCGGAGAAGGCTTGCGAGCATTCTCAGAAGGCGCGAGGGCTCCTGAGAAGCCCCGCCACCATCTGGGAAGGCCTGCCCCCTCTCACCTTTCACTGGGCTCGCCACCGAGGTGTGGTTGCGTGTCATCGCCCCCTGACAAAAAATAGGACTGCCTATGCTGGACATGAGTTGCCAACTATCATTAGCTATACGATTCATTGTGGGCCACGTCTGCATTGTAGACCAGGGGGGGCTGTGAAAGGGCATGCCACTCACAGACAAAACCTTGCCCCGATTTGTGGCCGCCGCGATCGCCGCGGCGACCTCACAAACCTGCGCTCCCAGGGCAGCGACAGCTCCGGACTGGGGCTCCAGAGCGGCTCCCGAGGCCCAGCGCCCGCTGGTGACTCGTACCCCTGGCAGAAGCTGAGCGGAGAGGAGGGACGGAGGAGAAGAGGGAGAGAGAGAGAGAGGGGGCATGAAGGGGCTGAGGATGGGAGGGGCTGAGGATGGGAGGGTGATGTCCGCTACCGAACGAAACCTCAAGATAGGTCCTATCTTGATGTTTCGTTCGGTAGCGGATATCACGCATTGATGGTCGACGAAATAATCATGTGCACACACACACACACCGATCCTGGCCAAGCCCACTCCTAGATGGGGTCCGAATGGATGGGGTCGGAAGATCGTGCCACATCGGCAATACACCGGCGATACATCGGTGATGCGTCGGCGGTGCATCGCCGACGTCGGCGACGCACCGCCGCCGCGGCGTGGAGGAGATCGTGCTCCGCATCGATCCGCATAGCCGACGCATCGGGGATGCGGCGCGATCCTCCGACCCCATCTGCTCCGACCTTATTGAGGAAACCTAAGAGCCCAATATCGGTGCATAGGATGGGCCCTGCCTGGATCGATGTTATATGCATGTGGTGGCACGTCATTGCCGTCATTGTATTAAATAACATGTTTGCTCCGTTTGCTCGTGTAGCTGAGCAGGCCCCGGGGCAGAGTCCCGATACGCAGCCACTGGGGCGAGCAGCGAGAATTACAGAGCATACATTGTTGCTGGATTAACTATCATTCGCTCTCTTTGTTGTTGATGGGCCCTGCCCAGATCGATGTTACGTGCATGGTTCTCGCCGTTGAGAATGGGGGAGGTTAGGGAATCAGCGACCTAGCTCGCCCACCTTCGCGCGTTGTGCCCAGCGAGGCGCCACGCGCGGTTACATCTATCGCGCCCTCGCGCCGCCCCCTTGAGAAAGCCTGCCCAGCGGCCCTGGCCGCCACGCGCGAAGCGCGGTCATCCTCGCGCCCCTGGGGGTGAGCTGGAGGCTACCACGCATGCAGCTGGCTCTCCCGGCGCCGGAGGCGCCCGTGCCTCGGGAAATGCGCCTGGCGGCTGGACCAAAGCCAGCCGCGTGCAGCAGGCTTCGTGCCCTGTCCCCCTGCCGGCTGCTGGCGAAAAAAGGGGGGATCAGCGTGGGGCGAAGCAACGTGCGCCTGGCGCGCACCTTTTTGGGTCCGCGGCGGCAGCTCAGGGGCAGTCCCTGGCAGTCCTGAGGACCGCTCGCCTGCGGTCCTCGATCCCCCCAGATATGCGTTCATTGCCCCGCGTTGCCGTCCGCCCGGGCCTTGCCCCGCCCTCCCCCCCCCGCCCTTCGGCTATTACCCCCCGTTGCCGTCCGCCCAGCCCTTGGTGCGAACAGAAGCTACGAACCGAAGGGTCGAATCTGCCGCCGTCGAATCCGTTGGTAGAGATGAGAGAGTGACAGCGCCCTGGCACCCCTCACGGCCCGGTAGCCATCGGGCTCGCTGTAGAATGCCTGAGCCGAGAGGATGGCAGGATGGATGGGCAGAAGGAGGAGAGGAGCGGTCTCCACCCACACACGCACACACACACAGTTGCCCCCCTCCCCCCCCTTCGCCCGACCTGGCCAAGGCGGTCTCGCCCCCTCTGCGCCCCTGGCGGCGCCCCTTGGGCTCCGCGCCCCAAGCCGCCCCGGGGGCCCCGAGGCCCTCCGCGGCCGCCCCCCGCAGGGGGGCCCGCCGAGCTCAGGCCCGCTGCGCGCGCGCCTCTCCTGGAGCTGCCTCTGCGCGCGACGTGCCCGCACCGTGGCGAGGAGCGAGGAGGGAGGCCCTTGGCGAGCCTCGTGGCCTCCCGGGGGGCCCTCGCCCGGCCCCGGGCACGTCCACGGACCGAGGGTGGGAGAATGGCCCCCCTGTAAAACGGGGATCGGGATAAATCGCTCCAGAGCGTTCCGGAGCGCTCTCAGAACGTTCCGGAACGCTCTGGAGCGGCCGCGGCGCCCAATACATCCTCCAAACCCGCCGATTCTCAGAGATTTCGAGTTATCCCGATCCGATTTTGTCCCGATCTTCGCATCGTTTTACCCTGGGAATGCCGAGGCGCCTGGGGGGTCCGCGCACGGAGCACAGCGGAGCACGCTGCAGAAAGGGCGCCTGGGGCGCGCGACACCCCGATTTCCGTCGATCTGCTTTCGTGCCGACCCGGGAGAGGCCTCTCGACCCCCTCCACGGAGGGACGGCTCTCGGCCAGAGGGAGCCGTGGGCGATGGGCCCCAGTGATCACAGCAGAACGCCGCCAGACCCTGAGATCCGGAGGAGGAGGAGGAGGAGGAGGAGGAGGAGGAGGAGGAGGATGAGGAGCAGGATGAGGAGGAGGAGCAGGATGAGGAGGAGGAGCAGGAGGAGGGCGCCCCGAAAAGGGAAGTGGACCCCAGGGGGCATGGTCCCTATGCTTCCTCCCTCGAGAGGCGCTCCTGGTCAGGATGTCGGGGGGCAGCCTGCAGCTGCCCCGGAAGGCCACCCGGAAGCTGGCGCTGGCGGGGGGCCCAGCGCTCGGGGGCCACGACTCGCTGCTCACGGGCCGCAGTATGGCGTTCACGAAGTCCTTTCGGGGGGGCAGAATGGTGAGGGAGGGGCAAAGGTGGGTCTGGAGGGAAAATCGCCCCGAATGGCCCCTGGAGGAAGGAAACGCGTTGAACGGGATCATCCAACTGGGCCTGGTCCCCAGCCCCGCCTTGGGAGAACCCTCCCTCTACGACCACCCGATCCTTCGAGGAGCAGGACATGTTTTTTCCGGTCGCGATCAGCAGCGACTGATCATCACTCCAAATCGGTCGCGCCTGATCGCGACCGATTCCAAAATTGAGCGCGACAGGTCTCGACCGATTTTGAAGCGACACGTCGGCACTCCAAGTTGGTCATTTCCGATCGCGACAGGTCGGTCGCGACCGATCTGTCGCGGCCGATTTTGAAGCAAATCGGTCGCGACCGACCTCGTCGCTCGCGACTGGAAAATTCCAGTATTCAGTGACCAACATACGGCGAGAATAGCGCAGGATATGCTCCTGGACTTCCAGAGTATCTAGCAGCCGGCGTAGAGCATTCGGAGATATGGGGAATCCTGAGAACCTTACAACTCTTCGCACATTTCATTATCATGTTCCCTTGCTCCTCTGAAGACGGCATGGACATACACTTTCGAGGCTCCGTGTGGATCCCTTGAACCGTCGCTGGGCCCCCCGGCGGCACCTCCTGTGCCGCCCCTGGCGCGCTGCGCGCGCCAGGATGGAGGGGGGGGCAGCGCCGAGAAATCCGCCCAGAGCTCCGACATGTTAGAGGAACGAACAACGACATAAACATACAGACTCGGAGGTCCGCCCGGATTTCTCGGGCGGCGCTGGAGGCGCCGCCATGGGGGTCCAACGCGGATCCGAGAAATCCGCGCGGACCTTCGAGTCGTATTGTTTATGTCACTGTCCGTTCCCCATGTGATGCCGATGCGTGCCTTCTTCCCCGAGTCCTGCATCCAGGCCCTGCAGCTCGACCAGCCTCGCGAGCGGCGCACGCGCACCCCCCCGACGTGCTCGCGCCGCGAGCCAAACTGCGACGGGCACCCGTTCCCCCGTCCTGTCGGCCCCAAGGGGGTCCCCTCGCTGGGCCCCGGGGATTCTCGGGAAGCGACTCGGGTCGGAAAACCGGGCCCAGGGAACGCGCGTCGGGCTGCCTGGGGCCCCGCGCGACAGACATCGAACAGCGGATGGTCGGGCAACATATCCGCATCCTTGCCCTGGCGCGGTAATAGGGGGCCGAACAATTGCATAAACATAAAAACTCGGAGGTCCGCGCGGACTTCTTGGATCCGCGCTGGACCCCCCTCCCTGGCGCGCGGAGCGCGCCAGGGGCGGCGCCGGAAGCGCCGCCAGGGCGGTCCAGCGCCGATCCGAGAAATCCGCGCGGACCTCAGAGTTGTTATGCTCAGGCCATTTTTCGTTCCCCTGGGTAAGGACCGAAGCGCGATCCCATGGATGCGCCGATCTCGTGGATACGCTCCGCGCGTGGGGGGGGGATCTGCGCAATGCCGCCATGCCTGTAGTTATCGACTGGGCCGCGGCCGAGGAGTCCAGACCGCGAGGCTGTGGCTCTGGAGGTGCTTCCCTCCCACGACCTGCGACCCACTGCTGAAGGCTCTCGTTGGTCAACAAGCTCGCGTCCACCACGGGGTTCCCGGACTGGTTTTGTCTGATGGTGAAGCGAAGCGTGTCGAAAGTGATGCTGACCTCGCCTGGCTGCTGCGTCGACTGCTGCCGGGAGAACCCTGCGGGTCTGTCCTTGGGGCAGAGGCAGGATCAATCAGCTGCGAATTAGCACATCGGGTCGAATCTAAGTTTAGGTCGGGCATGTCGTCCTACAGGGGGAAACTTGACGAAAAATAAGAAATAGTAAAAAATACCCCCAGATAATCAAAAATAGTAAAAATTCGTCCCCAGACTATTTTTTACTATTGGTGAATCTTCCTCCTGTAGAGGGACAAGCCCGATTTAAATCTAAATGGGCGCCGGATCGGGCCACATTTGCACGGCGTCGGGGGGTCGAATCGGCCCGGCCGCGCCAGGAAGCGCAGCAGCGCCAGGCCAAGCATGGGTGCGCATCGGATCGTCAGAGCATCGAAATCGACTCGGATCCGGGCCAGCCGAACTCGATATCGAATCGCATCGATATCGGATCGAAATGGGCCCTGGAGGGGAAACATCCACAGCATCCGCCACCACCAGCCCTCAACGGGCCCGTTTTGGGCCCAGGTCTTGATGTACACCAGCCTCTCCGCCCTGCGTGGAGCTGACGTCCACCAAGACCTGGACACGACGCAACACTCCGATTGCCGTACTCATGTCCCCGACGCCGCGAACCCTGACCGCAACTAACGAGCAAGCAGGCAAGCCCGGCCGGAAACAAGGACCGCTCGGCCCGTTGATGGGTGCCCACCCACCGCAGCACGGCTGTCGGCGGCGCGCTCGGGGGGGCGGAGGGGGGGGGGGGGCAGGTGGGGCCTCCTCAGGAGCCCTCGGGCCTTCTGAGAGGCCGCCTGCGCTTTCTGCGAAGGCTGAGACAGCTTCTCGGAAGGCTGGAGGCCTTCTGAGGGTTCGGAGAATTCCCGCCCCCTCTGCCTTTGGGCGTGCCGCCGAGCGAAACAAAAGGAGGGTGGGGGCCAAGCATCCGCCACTCAGTTTTTCTTCAATCCGCCGGCCCTGGAGCTCCCGACCCCGTCCCAAAAATTAGTTTTTCGCCGCGGGAGAATGGTTTTGAGGGTCACGGGGCCAGGCTCCAAAGGCCAAACACCGGGGCAAACAAGTTGCTGGACTGAGCCCATCACATCGTCCGTCCCCTCTAGCTTCCCCCACGGGCGCGTCGCAAAGACTGGCACCCCTTCTTCCCAGGACGGGAATGATGTCGTGACAGGCTTGGGCCAGGATGCGTTTCAGGACTTCCCCAGAGTATCTGACGGCCCTCGCTTCTGCAGTTTGCGTGGAACACTCGGAAATCTTGAACACCCTGGACACGTTGGTCCGTATCACTCTCTTTACCTGACGCTCCACTGCCTTCTCCCAATCCTCCGCCTCTCCGCGCAGGGGCGTCACGACGTCCACCTGCTCCGGCAGTTCCGCGATCGAGCTCTCCGCGTCCGCCCCGGTGTCCCGCGCCATCCTCGAGGGCGTCGCGAGCGGCGGCGACGAGGGCGACGACCGAGGGCGACGACGCCGAGAGCGGCGACGGCGAGGAAGGCGCCCCTCGCCGCCACCGACGGCGCCCCCCCGCCAGCGAGGCAGCGCCGGACGACAGCGACGCCTCCGGGGCGACGACGGCGAGGAGGACCACGGCGACGCCCCCCCCCCGGCGGCGAGGGGCGCCGACGTCGCAGCGACGGCCATCGCCCTCGTCGCCCTCCGCGGGTTCCGTGCCCGGCCCGCTTGCCGGGCCGCGCCCGGCCGTGGCCCAGAGCACCCCGGCACGTCCTTGCCGCGGCGCGGGCGGACGCGCGGCGCGGTCGGAGCCCAGGCGGGGTCGCTGCAGGGCGAATCTGCACCAGAGGCGGGGAGGCAAGCGGAGGGCGGCCGCTGGAGGTCTCTTACCTGCCGTCCTCCGCTTGCTTCCCGGTCTCTGGTGCAGATTCGCCCTGCAGCGACCCCGCCTGGGCTCGGATCGCGCCGTGCGTCTGCCAGCGCGGCGACAAGACCGTGTTGGGGTGCTCTGGGTCACGGCTGGGCGCGGCTCGGCAAGCGGGCCGGGCACGCATCTCTCGAAACCTCGATCCTCGTCGTTCTCACAGCCGCGCCCGGCCGTAGCCACGAGAACTGCCCCTCCTCCCTTCCCGGGAGGATGAGGTCGGCGTCGTCGGCGTCGTCGCCGTCCTCGAGGAGGGCCGTCCAGGATGCCCAGGACATCAGGAAAATAACACAAACTCGAACGACCGACGTCGTCGACGCTGCCGCCCTCGTCGTCGAACGTCGTCGTCGCTGTCGTCGGCGTCCTCGGGCGCGCGCCCGCGACCGAGGCGCTGTCGCCGGCGAATGGGCTGCAGTCACTATCCTGCTCGCTATACGCCCGGCTGGTGCTGACGCCGTCGACGGATGTGCCGAATGAGGGGGAATCAGGAGGAGGAGGAGGGGGAACAGGATGAGGAGAAATATGAGGAGGATGACGAGGAGGTGATGGAGGCGGAATAAAAGGAGGAAAGGAGGGAAAAAGAGAAGGAAGAGGAGGAGGAGGAGGGGGAGGTGGAAGAGGAGGAGGACCAGTGTAAACCCAAGACGCATCAACGACGTTGCAAGAAACCCTCCCCCCAAGTTGCCTCTTCCTAGGTTCCCCCAATGCTGAAGTTCATTGGGGGGGAATGTTCAATTGCAAGACAACCGTTTTAGAATCCCTAATCCTGCCGACAAGCAATTTCTGGGACTTCAACGCCGCGAATCGACATGACTGCTGCGTCCCTGAAACATTGAAACCGTGCCAGAACACCATTGCCGGGACTTCTACACAACGATTCAACGTAACTGTTGCGTCCCTACAATCCCAAGTCGCGCCAAAACCCAATTCCTGGGACTTCACCGTGCGACCTTATGGAACTGTTGCAAGCACGAATGTGCGCGGCGCTAACATGGAACTAACGCGACAAACACATTCAAAAAACACTCGCCCTCCATCTGGGAACCTGTTGCAAACTTACGGCGGACCGTATTTTGGAAACGGCCCGCCCTCCATCCGTGAAGCTGCTGCAAGTTTCAAGCTTCAGGAACATACATGGTGAACAAAACTCAGGCGAAGCGCGCGACCAGCCCTGCAGCCACGTCCAGGGGTGCGACAAGGAGGAGTTACGTATAAGGCAAATGATGGATGAGGAGGAGGAGAAGGGGGAGGAGGAGATGGAGGAGGGAGGAGGGGCAGGAGGAGAAGGAGGAGGAGGAGGAGGAGGAGGATAGGAGGGGAAGAGATGCGGAGGACAGGGAGGAAGGAGTAGTAGGAGGAGAGAGAATTAGAGGAGAGGGGAGGAGAGGACGATAGGAGGAGAGGAGAGGAGGGAAAAGGGTGTATACTATTGGAAGGGTACGATGGGAGGGCTACATAAAAAGAACGTGTTAGAAGACCGTGTGTCCCTTCGGCCTCTGGCCCATCGTTCCCCAGCACAGATTTCCTTCTACTCCCCTCCTCCTCCTCCTCCTCCTCCTCCTCCTCCTCTTTCTCCTCCTCCTATTCCTGCTTCTCCCCCTCCCCCTCCTCCTCCCCACTCCCTCGCTCGCTCGCTACCCAAAGTCCAGAGAAGTCCGAAACCCATGCAATCAGGACAAGGAAAAAGGCGAAACCCGCGCATGCACATACACCCCACAAACATACAAACCTCCCGGTCCCCCTCCCCCACCCTGCCCCTTCGCAAGCTTGCCATCGCCCCCCGCCCCTTTCTTCCCAAGTCTTGCCCCTCGCGGGGGGGGGGGGGGGCGGAGGAACGACAAGCCATGGGAGGAGGGGGGGCGGGGACCTGGAAGGACAAAAGGAGGAAGACGAGTCGCCTGAGGGCCGAAAACGCCCATGGCGTGGAAAATAATTGGGGGAAACTGGTTTGGGACCCTGGCCAAGGATTTTCCTTTGGGAGCTTCCCCCTGGGATCGGCGTTTCGACCGACATGTGTTCTGGAAGTCCTAAGTAGAGACTGGGCAAGGCCCCCTGGAACAGGAAAACGGCGA